CCCCGTGGGGAAAGAGGAGGGGAAAAATGAGATTTAATTGATCAGAAGGGAAAACAGAATCCTCTCCAGAGGCAGGAGGGTGTATCCAGTAAGAGAAAGGAGTCAGCATTTGTGCAGAATCCAGGCTGTTTCTGAAACTTGGGAAGTCTGTGGCTTTTTCCTGTTTCTCGTGGAACCTCCTGACCTGTCTCAGGAGCTTTACAGTTAAAAAAAAGCTTCCTTTCTGTTTTGTGAACACTGCCTCCCACCTGCCTTGTCTTCCTCCTCGTACAAAGGAGGGAAACACAAATATATACAGTGATCTAGGCCAACAGGAACTTTTTTTTTTTAAACAGTATCCTTTCAGCAAATTCTTTTAGTCACTTGCAGCAATGACATTTCAAAAAGGATTTCATCAGGAACCTGGCATTTTAATTAGACAGTATGTCCTTAAGCTGTTAGCCACTTTCACAGGCTGAGCTCAGATACTGTTAACAGCGTGACATGGAAATAACAGTGAAGCTGAAACCTCACAGGCCGAGAGGCAATCCTCACACAACAGACCGAATTCCCCATCTTCCACCAAAATGCTGAAACAAACAGCAGCTGCATCCTTCTGTTCAGGCCTCTTAATGCTGAGGCAGACAGGAACAGAGGAGTTGAGTCTCCCAGACTTATTCTGCGGGGAGTTTGGCTTTGGGCATAAATGTATAGGACTGGGGTTCTGGAAATGGATTCTGTTTTGAATCAGCATTTAGGAGTAGATGCTTTGAAAATAACAAAAGCAGAAATTACCTTTTTAAAACTTACTGTTAGGGAAATATTTTCGTTTGAACATGAGCATTTCCTTGCAACATTTACAAACCTGCACCACGCATCTATCTTTACCATCCCATTCACACCTAGCTTCCTCATCATTTTCTTTGTTTCAGACAGTTTTTCGCCCAGTGATCCAAGTCTGCTACTGAAGATAGCATACCTGTTATGAGATGATCCAGTCTAGGATTTAATTTCAATGAGTGATAGCACATTTTTCCTGGCAACTTAACTGTTACATTCTTAAACTTCTTATAGAGACACAGAATGGTTTGGGTTGGAAGGGACCTTAAAGCCCACCCAGTCCCACCCCCTGCCACGGGCAGGGACACCTTCCACTAGACCAGGTTGCTCCAAGCCTTGGACAATTCCAGGGATGGGGCATCCACAGCTTCTCTGGGCAACCTGTCCCAGTGCCTCCCCACCCTCTCCGGGAAGAACTTCTTCCTTCCTAACTGTACAGATGTCTGCTCTTGAGACATTGAGTTCTGAGCTCATATTTAGTATCTCTGTCAATGTCCTGTTGTACCACTTTGCAAGCAAAGTGTTAGTTAGATTTCACACACCAGAAATTATAAGCAGCAAATGGGCTTGTAGCATCTATTCTGAGTTACAGAATAAGAAATTCATTTCATGCTATAAAAGGTTTAAATTCTGAATGTTATACCAATATAGCTCTCTTAGTATGGGTTTTATGTGCTAAATGAGGCACACTAAATGCTATTTCATTTCACAACTCAATTCCTATTTGAATGGAGCCTATTTAAAGGACTAATACACTGTCTGTTAAGATTTGGTCAGCCAGGTACTGGAGTCAGCATTAAAATAGTAAATCTTAATTATCAGCTACAGTTACCTGACAAGCATCGACTCCTCCTTCCAAGTATCCAGCACACAACATCCTGGGTGTTATGTCCCCATCGTACACTTCCTTCCTGTTGCAAGTGTTTGAGTCGATGAGTTTCACGGTTGCTTCCTGAAGAGCATTTGGAGTTGGACCTGAGGGAAAATACGGTTTGGGTATTTATCAACAGAATTCCTTTGCAGGAGTTAAGATACAGGAAGAGCATTTCATGTTCTCTGATGAAGGACCAGCTTGACTTGGTTTCATGTTTGGCTTCTTGAGTCCAGGTTAGGCCCTTAAAGAAAATGTACATACTCACAGTCTCACTTAGAAACCATTAAGCCAGAAGTAACGATTGCTGCATAGTATGTAGTGTAAACCCATAGTATGTAGTGTAAACCCATAAGTATGTAGTGTAAACCCACAGTATGTAGTGTAAACCCATGTATTCTGCACATGTTCCATGTAATACCATGGGACACAAATTACCTAGCCATTTGGGTAGATGATACACAATGAAGACATCTCGGTTCCACTGCTAAATATTCTCGCTAAATCTTAGCGTGGCCTGATAGGAGTGTGAGCTCGGGTAAGTCACCACCTGCACCTCACTGCACATTTACCTGGAAGCCCAACGGGGTTATCTGAAGCTTCTTGTGCTGGTTTTGCTTGGGACAGAGTTAATTTGCCTCACAGTAGCTGATATGAGGCTGTTTTGGATTTGTGCTGAGAAGAATTCTGATAACAAACTGATGTTTTTAGTTGTTGCTAAGCAATGTTTATATCCAGTCAAGGACTTTTCCAGTTTCTGATACTGCCCCTGTGTTCCCAGCTTCTTCTCCACAAGAAGCTGGAGGGGACACAGCCTGGACAGCTGACCCAAACTGACCAAATGGGTATTCCGTAAAACGTCATGTTCGGTATATAAGTTGGGAGGGGAGGCTGGGGGTCACAGTCTCTCCATCTTGCTCTCTCTTGGTTGCTCGCTCTCTCTCTCTCAGGGTCTCAATCTCTGGCTCTCACTACTCGGGACCTGGCTGGGTGTTGGTCAGCAGGTCGTGAGCAGTTGTATAATTTGGTTTATTTTCCATTATTTTCATTATATATTAGGAGTGGTAGTGTTACTTTCATTACATATTATTAGCAGTAATATTAGTATTATTAGTATCTTTAGTATTATTGCTATTGTTAGTATTATTGTTATCATTATTTCATTTATTTTCAGTTCTCAAATTGTTCTTATCTCAACCCATGAGTTTCCTTGTCCTTTCCTCCACTGGGGCAGGAGGGAGTGAGCGAGCGGCCGTGTGCTGCTTGGTGGCTGGTTGAGGTTAAACCACGACACTTCTGGCTAGGGCTGGGTAAATATTCTTTTAGGTGCCATATAAACACATGCATGGCTGGACTACCTGTGTTAAGAATTTACAGTATGAAATGGAAATGCTGGAAACAGACAACAGTTTTCTTGTTTTCTGCTTCAGTGGATTGTAGCTTTGTCTTTGTCCAGTCTAACTGTACAAGAAGAAACTTCTGCTCATGATTAAACCTATTGTTTATAGACAAAGCATTAGGCTTGCTGCCATACAACATATGGCTGCAGAAGTGGTGTCACTTCAGTAGTAGATTAAAGCCACTGTTTGTGACACACAGGACGCCCGGTAGACTCAGGACTCACCATCGTTGGTAAGAGCTCCCCAGCCTGTGATGACAGTTTTTTTTGGGAAACATCTGAGATGGCTCGGGCAGGCAAACGCGGTGTATGCTGCCCGTAAACTCAACTCGTTTAGAGAGCTGCACAAGTGCAATGTCGTAATCATGTTCCGGGTAGCGGTACTTTTCATGAATAATAATAGTCTTGACTGATCGTTTCAAGCTTGGTGGCTTCAGAAGAGCTCCAAACGTAGCAGTCCACTTCTGAGGGTGACTCATGCTGGAAAAGGTAAGAGTGCTGTAAGTATTTCATAGAATCATAGAATCACGGGGTTGGAAAAGCCCTTAGAGATCATCCAGTCCAACCGTATCTGTCCACCACTAAACCATATCTCTCAGCACCTCATCCACCCGTCTCTTAAACACATCCAGGGACGGTGACTCCACCACCTCCCTGGGCAGCCTGTTCCAGTGTGTGATAACCCTTTCGGTGAAGAACTTCTTCCTTACGTCCAATCTAAACCTCCCCTGGTGCAGCTTGAGTCCATTCCCCCTCGTCCGATCATCTGTCATTAGGGAGAAGAGACCAACACCCACTTCTCCACAACCTCCTTTCAGGGAGTTGTAGGCAGTAAATTTAGCTGTGAATCTAAGTGTTCAGGACTTTAAACTTGGTGAGAATCGCTATTGGAAAGCTCCTTCAAGCCAGCTCCCTACTCGATTTGTAAGGCATCCGTTTCTTCCCACAGCACTGTGTCCCATGGAATTGTGGGCTGCTGCTGCAAGAGGGCAATCCTGTGTTCCCTCCTAAACCAAGGTCTCATACTCCTGCTCCTTGTCCCTGACCCAGCCACTGTGTGGCCTCAGGGTGTAGTCAAATCAAAAAGCCTTTCTGCTGGAAAACTTTTTTTGTCCATTACTCTTGTTGCATGTAAATACTTTGTTCAACCAGCTGTTCTATCTTATTGACTGGTTGGAGCGAGTCCAGAGGAGGCCACGAAGATGCTCAGAGGGCTGGAGCCCCTCTCCTATGAAGAAAGGCTGCAAGAATTGGGCTTGTTCAGCCTGGAGAAGAGAAGGCTCCGGGGAGACCTTATTGCAGCCTTCCAGTGCCTGAAGGGGCTACAAGGAAGCTGGGGGGGACTTTTTACAAGGGCCTGTAGTGACAGGACAAGGGGTAATGGGTTTAAATGGAAAGTGGGGAGGTTTAGATTGGATATCAGGAAGAAGTTCTTCCCGGAGAGGGTGGGGAGGCACTGGCACAGGTTGCCCAGAGAAGCTGTGGATGCCCCATCCCTGGAAGTGTCCAAGGCCAGGCTGGATGAGGCTTGGAGCAACCTGGTCTAGTGGAAGGTGTCCCTGCCCGTGGCAGTGGGGTTGGAACTGGATGGTTTTTAGGGTGCCTTCCAACCCAAACCAACCTGTGATTCTGTGATTCTATGATTGAAAAGAAGTGCTGGGAGTGCATGGCTGAATGGAGGGTTTGGAATGTGGGAGTAGAACTTCTGGTAGCAGCCTGCAGCAGCAGCAACCTAGTTGTAACACAAAGGAGCACCTTCAGAAACACCTAGTGCAACAGGAAACAAATACTCTGCCACTTCAGCCACGTTACCTTTTCTGCACCCCTTCGCTCAACACGCTACATGACTATTGATTTCCACTCATACAATTCCCAATCCTGCTCCAAAGAGTCAGTCTCTAATTTCTCATTGGAACATTCAAGTGATGAGTCCGCTTAACCCTGACTGTTCTCCTCCGAGGCAGAAAATTGCTCCCCAGGACAGAGTCGGGGGTGTGGTGCAAATGTGGGAAGCCAAACAACTTGATAAACGCGGAGCACATTCCTCTGCAGATTGTTTCCAAGACGGGAACTTACTCTCTGAAGCAGTGTGCTGCAGACACAAGCCACGTATTGCTGATGAGCGTCGCACCGCAGCGATGGATGTTATTGTACTGCAGACTAGCTTGCCACGGCCAGTCCCCGGTCTCTGCGGTAGACAATCCGCCGGCTATTCGCAGCGATGATGATTTTGCCATTGACTTGACTGACCTGTTCTGCCGTAACCCACAGACTGTCAAAAAGGAGAAGGAGTGTATTAGCTAGTCTTCCGTTTAGTAAACGTGCCTGCCGATGGCTGTGGAAGAGCTGTGTAACATTACACACCGCCTAGGTCCTCTCACGGTATTAACATCGATGAGAAAACACACCTTCCACCAGTCCCCCGACTCAGAGATCCTCATGCACCCCCCATTCCGTTAGAAGCCTGAATGAACAACTGACTATTATGGAAAGCCATGATGGTCAACCATTCAGGTTCAGCTGTATGAGTCCAAATCAGGAATCAAAACCTTCACCACACACCCAGGACTGTTCCCAAGTAGAGGGATTGCCGATGTCCCAGGTAATTTGTCATTAGGATAAAACACCGACAAGGCAAAATCTAAGATGGGAGTGATCCAAGCCGCGGGATTTTACCACGCATGCACGCAGATTACATCAGCAAGATGTCTCCTGGAAACAGGCGGACCTGGAGAGGCACTTCAGGCAAAGAGCATCACACCGATCCAAGCCAGAGAGGACAAAGGCATGGATACCTCCAGCACGGTGCGCATCCATGACGAAAAGTATTATCCTCCAAACCCAGAGAGAAATGAAAATATCCATGGTTTCAGCCACTAAACTCAGGATATTCAGGAGCAGCTGAAGCTCCCCCGTAGCTTTAGAAACTTCCTCAACAGACAGAGCTGTCTTCTCCCATCCAAACAGCATCAAATCCAGCTTACCTGGACAAAGACCCACTGGTTTTCATCCAGGCCCCGATTTCAGCTAGACATTGGGACACTTGACAGACAGGACTATGCCAATTCATTGAAAAAGAGACAGAGCTAAGAATTATTCTCATAGTGACAACACAGTCCAAACCGTTGCCCTGCCTGTCTCCCGCAGTGACCCAGAGGGGGACAAGGCAGAAACCAGTGTACGTCACTGAAGAGCTGCCAGCCCTGGAAGTCCTCAGAAGCGAAGCACGGGAGCCACACAGAGTGTGACCTCTGCCCCTTCCTGCTAGGATCTGCGCAAGGTTATGTTAACAGTTCCTCGTAGGCAAAAGCAGCCGCAATAACACAGGCGATGGAAAGCTGTTCATAAATTCAACCCCAAAATACAATATGGAGAAGCTTGTGTGCTCAGTGTAGACAGTCTGCCCTGTTCTGAAACTTAAACCCACAAGGAAGGAAGTCAGTGAAATCTAAATCTGCTTGTCCAAAGCTTACTGTGTGAAAGGAAAACTGGAGAATACATCATAACTGGTAAGACTGCACTAGCATGTTTCCCTCCTGGGAGGTATTGGTAATCCTTAGTTACTGGTCCTAAAACTGCACAAGCCCACCAACCACCTGAGCGGCCCATGTTCAGAACACGGGAAAACTCCCCGTCCCATCAGTGCCCCAAAACACCAGCACCTAAAACGGACCTGAAGAGTGGTGTTATTTAATCTTCTATCACTTGCCAGCCGGCTGCTAAGGGACTGATCAAACCTTCCTGCAGTTAAAAGAAACCCAACTTGTAAGCAAAGATGGCTTTTTATGACTATTAAATCCCCAAACAAGATGACTTATTTCTCTGAGAGCTCATAAACATCTCTAAAACAAACTACCTCAACTTAACCCCTATGGCGATACCTTGAGAAGACCAATCGTGTTGCCTTGTATTTCCATAAGGAACAATTTTGTGCTACTAGCCATTCCAAAATCCGGAACATTTTCATTATAATCACAGTCTGACATAACGTCTATACATTTCCTGATGGTCCTTCCTTCCTTCTGATGCACACAAAAGGAAAATGTCATATTCCCAATTTCTAGAGCACACAGAAAGCCATTATTCCACACTCTTCTGCATGCACCCAATGCAACTGGCTTTTGGGGCGCTCCTCTCTCGCGGGCTGTGGCAGAGATCTCTCCTTAAAGCACCACCCGGACAAGGTGCTGGTACCTGTTCTGGTGTAAAGCTCATCACTTAACGTGTGTACGGGAAAACGAGGGGTAGGATGGTGGAGGTGAATTGTTATGCTACAGCATCCCCAAGGAGCATATTTGCAACAGTCTGCAGTCGTTGCGCCAAGACGCAGTTCTAACCCTTTACAGCAGGGAGACAGAGGACAGGGAGCCCTGTGCCGGCAGGATTAGACTGGACGGAATATTCTATTTAAGTACATGTTTCAATCGATTTATAATAGAGTTTGCTTCTATCGTGCTCAAATATAAAATGTACTCAAATCCAGGACGAGGACTCTCCTGCTTTTAGCACGTACAGTACACCTTTCGGCTAGCTGCTGTGCCTGACAGTAAAGCAGCCAACTAGCCCAAGCAATTAAGTTCTTTTAATTATTGGAAGTCCTCCTTGCTCACTCAGGTTTGCTACGTACACCTAGGAGTCATCTGAGCTGTCGCAGCTTTCATGTAGAAGCATGGCTTGGTCTCTGCGTGTCCAAATGCACAGGCACAGGGTAAAAGCTCCCACTGGTACCAACAGCAGCTGCATCAGGCTAGTAAATAAACAAGTGTCACGGACATTACAGTGCTCAGCCCTTGCTGGCTGAATCCTCCTTCTCCTGGATGCTGGGGTTTCTATTTAAGATGCACCCTCCACCTCTCACACCAGCACTGCTGGAGGCAGAGCGTGCCATAGGCACTTGGGCAGCAGGACCTGCGTGTTTCCTCCTCCTCCGGCGCTGGGATTTCTACAGAGCCCTCAGTACGTGCTCATGTCTCATCGTTTGCTCTGTCCTCACACGACTGCTGAGGTTTTGAACAGAAGGAACATCTCACTGCAAAACGAAAAACCTGACCAGGGCACGCAGCAGTGGGTGTAGACTTTTTCTGCAAGGGATGATGGGATTCTGCCCCATCATCACAATTTTCAAGCCAGTCTTCTTAAGTATCTGAGAAGATAAATCCTCAGGCTGAGCAGGATTTCTAAACACACTGCTTATCTGTGTGAAGTACAAGGTCACATTAGACAGGAGGGCGAGAAAAGGCTTTTAAGGGCCAGGAAAAGTGCTCAGAGACTATTAATGCTAATTAAAACAATCAGAGATCTCCCAGGCTTACAAAAGCCTTCACTTACTGTCATTGAAGAGGGCTTCTGCTCTTTTCGTCTCCATATCTGAAAGAAACAAAGAGCCAGGGTCAGGCCAGGACAGCACAGCCAAGGTTTCCCACCTGCATGGTCACCCCACCGGCAGCTCTTCGAGCAGGGGGCCTGGCGGGAGGTAGGGCTGAGGGGGGCTGGAGCGAAGCCAGCGTAGCTGGTGTGGTCACGGTCTTGCCCTGGCACCGCGCTGCTCTCTGCGGAGCTGCTCGCTCTTCTCCGGACGATATCCTCTGCAGACCAGCACAGCGCATCCCCCCTCCTGCTGGGCCCTGGTCTTGCGGGAGGGGAATGCAGCCAAAACAAGCCCTGTATTACTCAAGAGCCACAATTCTGTCACGGAGAAATTTTTGCAATGGGAAGTTTTGACATTCCTTTTTTGGTAAAAAAACAATGGGCCGCATTTTACCCGGGAGCGAGGGCGCAAGGCGCTCCGGCAC